ATACGAAGTTAAGGTACAACACATTAGATTACTGTACATAGATTTGAGCTAAGGTACAATACATTAGACTACTATACATAGATTAGAATACAATACATCATTAGATTGCAGTTACACTATACTTAGACGACTTACCTATGGAAGTGATGGAATAGTTCAGATTGGCCTTGTCAAAACTGAACTTGATATGCCACGTGCACGTCGACCGGCCACTACAAGCCTGGTCCTTGTGCGTGCAGTAAAGGGTGGATCGCCACATGATAGCACCTCGTCCACCGTGAACAGGGTGGGGGTTTTTCTCCGAAAAGTTCTTTCCCTTCCGCGACACTGTGAAGCCTCGGGCACGTGCCCACGCCTGCACGCAAGTTACGAACTCGTTGGCGTCATTGAATCTGTGATGGATACCGAGCAAGTCCCCGAATGCTGGTGCCTGGGATGGTATTCCAACCGTCGCTGGTTCGTTGCCGGATTCATCAGCACCGGGCATTCCGCTAGGTGCAGGTGTGTGATCTCCCTCGGGGTGATCATTGCTGTTCGTCTCGTCCATCTTGTTTTAAGTGAGCGCTGACCATTCACCATTCATCCGTACAATCTGCGATATCCGGATGAGTTGCCGTTTAAGTTCGACAATGATACTCCAGGGTACTCCATAAAAACTAAATGGGGTACTCCATAAAAACTAAATGTCCGTTATATTCGATAATCCTACATATGATCCCGAAATTAGGATGATTGCCGGATACAATTTAACCGGACAATGCGCCAGAGGCGCATGCGCCTAAAACGAGAACCCCCAGAACGCGTTGCGTTTCGACAACACAAGCGAAACATCGTATCCGGACGATTTCTCGACCAATTTAAGTGACTCCTTTCATTTTCTAAATATGTCCAAAAAGGGAGAAGCGGAGGCTGCATGCCTCGTCGAATGGTGGGAAGTATTTTAATTCCGCCAATCATCAAGCTGTATTTACTCATTCAAATGTGATTGGATGTTGTCCACCATTACACCAATAAATCTTCGGTCGATTGATTTGACAATAAGGTTGTGTATGAATTCAAGTTATCATTCAATTTGTCATAATGGGCAGACAAATGCTATCGTTTTCAACAAAATCAGGGTTGAGGATAAGTCACCGTTGAAAATGCGTGAGCATGGTAACGTTACTGTATTCTGACCCGGTTCATTTTACCACAAGGAGCTACATTATATGGCCGTCTGCCTCTGCTTGTTTCAATACAAAAAAAATCTCCACGACAAGCACAATTAAAAATGAGACGACGGGGGTATCCAATATCGACGAAGCTCCAAGCGTTGGGAATGCTGGAAACCATGTCCGACTACAAGGTGTCCGCAGCACTGGACGTTCCGCGGCGCAATTGGATGTCCCAAAGACACGAGATTCTAGCGTACGACCGGTAACTTGCAAAATATTAAGCTTGAGCCTGCTGGAAGATACGATGCCTTTCCAGAACCGCCAGGACTCATCGAGTTCATAAACCATGTCCGCGATAACGAGCGTGCTCTCACGACTACGCATCTCATCATGTGGATCAAGGTCAACCAGCGTGAGTGGTTGAACAACTACCTCGCCACCAAGCAACCGTCGTCGTAGTACGACTCTCTCCTCCGCATTCTCCAGCGCTTCTGCCGTCGTCACGGCATCTCCCACCAGCGTCCCACCATGAACAAGGTCAAGCAAGCCTATCTTGCTGAGGTGCAGAGCGACTTCGTCGCGGTGTTCCACCGCGAGTACATTGCGTACGGCAAGGAGTGCGTGTACAACGCTGACGAAACAGGCATCTATTACGACATGCCGTCGCGCTAGATTTGGGCGGTGCGAGTAGGAAGCTCCAAAATCTCGAGCGTGGAGAAGCATTAGCTTCGCATTACGGCGGTCCTCACGGTACGAGCTGACGGCACCAAGCTACCCATCCTCTCTCATTATGAAGGGGGTGCCTGGCGTCGCATCGACAGCGGCGAGCTCAGCACGTTTCCTCCTGGCCATTACTACGCGGTTCAGGAGCGTGCCTGGATGGGCAAGCGTGTATGGGCCACGTACCTTCGGGATGTCCTCGGCGAAGCGATCGAGGAGCCGTCAGTCGTGCTGCTGGATAACTTCGAGTGACATGTGTCGGGTGAGTCGTACAGCATCATGTACGAAGAGCTAGGAGCCCACCTGTGTGCGTTGCCACCGAACGCGACGTCGGTGTGTCAACCCCTTGACGTTGGGGTGATGGCGCCGTTTAAGCGCAACCTTCGTAACTTGTGGCTGTTCGAAGACATCATTGTTGGTGATAATGATGACCCATTTTCTCTTACCTCGCGACAAAAGCGCATGGCATTGGTGAAGCGGTTGATTGCAGCATGGGACCTTGTGTCGAGATTCGGCGCAGTTTCGAGAAAGCTCTCCCTCACTGAAGGATGTCCAATAATTTCAGCGTTAATTAAATTTCCACTGCAATTATTTAAGTTATCTTCATTCTTGTAACAGGATTTAGCTTAATGTAAAATAATAGGAAATTTTTTGACACTGCCCGGGAATTGAACCCGGGCCCCTTACTCTATCACTTTGATGCCGTCGCCCTTAACCATTGAGCTACCGCGTCAAACACTTACGCTTGGACTGAAATCATCCATCCATTCATATACTTTGTGTAGGACACCTTCGTAAACCGATTACCTGGTTCTTTACATCCCATATTGTTGTCGTTTGCAGTCATATCGGTGGGAAATCATACTACACAATATAATTACCTGTAATAAAATGAATTGACGTCAGTCAGCGTGAATAAAAATTTCAAAATTGCGCACTGATTGACTCAAAACGAAACGTACATCGAAGTTAGCAATCCAATCAAATATCCAATTCACGTAGGACTCGAAGACAAAGTAGGCCTTGTATTCCGTCGTTCCCTGTATTACGGTACGTACGGACACATTGGTGGGGCACACGTACAATATTTATTCTTGTGTTTAAACTGCAGGGAATTCCGCATAGATTCTCGCAGAATGTTGAGCACACGTATGATGTTTGGTTTGTGAAGTCATGCGGCAGGTAAGAAGTCATACCTGTCAAAGGTCAACTAAAAGAAGCGCCTAGCCTACGCCAAGAAGTACCAGCATTGGGCCGACGACGACTGGAAGAAGGTAATCTTCATTGACGAAAGTCCGTTCAACTTGACCGGCTCCAGAGGGCGTGTCTTCGACTGGCGCCGACCCGGTGAAGAGTTCAACGAGGCCTGTCTCGTCCCTACGTTCAAGAGTGGTCCTCAGTCCGTCGTGGTGTGGGGGGAATAGGAATGAATGGGACTGGTACCCTGGTGTTCATCGATGGCAATATGAACTCTGAAGGCTATGTCGAGCTCTTGGAGGCCTAGCTTCCCAACAACTTTTCCAAATTGGATCTCCCGCTGGTTTTGGTCTTCCAACAGGACATTGCTCCTATTCATAAGGCCAAAGTTTTAATGCGTTTGCTCGACGATAATGCTGTCAAAACCCTGGCACACTGACCTCATAGCCCAGACTTGAACCCCATTGAATATGTGTGGGAGGAAATCGAGAGATTCGTATTATGTCTGCTACGTTGCTTGGTGAGTTACGATCGAAAATCGAGATGTTGTGAGATGAAATTCCTTTGGAATACATCAAAGGCTGACTAAGGCGTCGTCAGATTTCATGTCTATGATGATGATCATGGAAGCGCGTTCGACTGAGCGAGAAGAACAACGTAACATGAGAGAAATGGAATGGCGTGCCGAGGAGCGCGTCCGCCAAGACCGCCGCGACGAGTTGCACATGATGTTGATGGCCAAGCTCTTTGATAGCAAGCACAAGTAACTCAAAAATATTTCGAGTTGCTGTTTTTGTGCAAACTAAACATAGGTTGACGTGGTAGTAAATATATATCATATAGGACGAATATTCTAAAAATATGCAAATGCAGTGTTTTGACCAGCACTGCATTTGCATATTTTGACCAGCACTGCATTTGCATATTTTTTAGAATATTCGTCCTATATGATATCTATTTACTACCACGTCAACCTATGTTTAGTTTGTTCGAGGAGTTATTTAGGTAATTCGGAATCATAATCCTGAATGAAATTTACTTACGGATTAATTGTTCCAAAGAAAAAAAATCGCAGTTGAAATCGCCGATGTGGGTTAAATTTTGCAATAAAAATGTACAAGGTACTTACTTGCCTTCAAGGTGTTCAATTAGGCCTGTTTAGAACTTTTTGAGGAGTTAAAAGTACTATTTTACAATCCAAAGACATTCTTTATCTGGCTTATCCCTGTACGGCGGACACGGAAGTTGTACAACTTGAATATACTCTCAAGTCGCATAGCACGGAGTGATGAGTTATATGCAGGCATCATAACAGGTGCGAAATCCCAGTTTTAACAAAAATAAGCTAAAATTGGGATTTCGCCGAAAAAACTCACTATTTCTGGGATTTTTGTCCAAATAGTCAGAAATGTAGTTTTATTGTCTTATTATCGGCGTCAAAAACCATCCTCCTCGGCCAGCTCGTCTTCGGCGCGGAACATCAGGCCGCCAATGATATCGTCAACAATCGTAGGCGGGTGAGGGAAATGGTCATATTTGAACGAACTCCATCAAGCTGATGCCTATAATCGAAATGATACACGATCGGATCAGTTCATACTTCACCTGGTTGACAGAAACCTTCGTCGTCGCATCTTCGTTGGCGATTTGGTCGTCAAACTTGCTCCATGGAAGCGCACTTATTCGAAACAAGAAACCGTTTCATTATTTTTATCATGGCATGAGTAGAATTTTTTAAAACAAGACATCAAAACGATATTATGTGACGTTATATGTGGAAGCAAATACTCCGGAGGATGATTAACAAAGTTGGATAACTTGGATGTTATATTTGAGACAGCCACTTTCAAAGCCACATAACATGAGTCAATGTAAATCGATCAACCCGAGACTCAATCTGCGTGTTCACAAGCATTATCACTACATAATGACGTATCATAGAGGTCGCTACGAGCTCTATTCATCGAGATATTTACTTACAAAGTAGTTATATTTGTGTTTTTTGCTACTTTGAGGACACATCACTCATACTACAATGCTGCAATCACCATATTTCTAGCTTTGAACGATAGGCAGCAACAAAGTTTGCAATATCTACATTCAATACACCGCTCGTAGACAAGCTGCTGAGGCCGACAAAAGCTGGAACTAGCACTCTGGTGCCGATTTTGGGGAAGTTCCTTAAAATTGGGATTCTACAAAGGTTTAAATTTGGGATATCGCAGCCTATTTTTAGCTTTTCCCAGGTTTTAGGAGGCCTGGTTATATGACAGGGGCAGGAGTAGTTGATGGTACACTTTGCTGACAGCACCCATGCCTCATTCCGTAGAGATGAAAGAGGCTGGGTCACATTTTCAGTCACAATTTCGTCCTGATAAGCGCTTCATTTTAATCATGGCTTCATCGATTGAGAGGGTTTTCACCGAGATTTGCTACCAAAACCGACACAAGACACAATAACAATGAAGTATTACTGGGTAAAAAGAAAAGTAATAAAGGATATATTGGCTGAATTATTGGTGGCGCGTGGGCAGTTCAGAAGAAATGCGTCTTGGTGTAGCTGGAGTCCTCTGGTACCGCCGCCGCCGACTACGCAGGGTGCTGGTAGCTCATCGCCTCCGAGCATCTCTCAGAGAGCGGAACAAGATTAATGCTCGGTCACTACTCAAAGAACAAGTAGATTGTCCGTGGTACACTATGTATGCTACACATGACCCAGCCTCTTTCATCTCTACCGTGCAGTTGCCACCGGATGCATTTGATAGTCTGCTCGTCTTGTTTTCCGGTGAGTACGAACAACCCAGTAGACGTGGCAAATGTGGTAGACCTCCGCGTGTTGTCCATGCGCATGCTGTTCTGGCGTTGGTGCTGCACTTCTACACAGCCGCTGTCGAGCAGAAGACACTGCAAGAGCTGTTTGCGCTGACACCAAACACGTGCGCCCGTACTCTGCGGAAAGGAGAAGAAGCATTGGCCCGTGCCCTGGCAGCTTGCCCAGATGCTGCGATCAAGTGGTCGTTGAAGGCCACGCAGGCAAGATGGGCGGTCATGAGCAACTTGCGGGATCCGCATGTCCACGGGGTGTTTTCATTCGTCGATGGAAAGAACTCACGTACTTGGTAACACAGTTTCTTTTGCAAATAATTTCTTTAATTATTTATTTTCCTTTTTTTAAATTCAATTTTGCTTTTTTTTATCAAAAGGATTTACTAAAAAGGAAAATAATACGTGCAGGAACCATCGTCAACCGATCTGCAGAACGCAACGTACAACGGTAGCTGATTTTGTGTGTTTCTATATCTAACAATGGTGTAGGATGGTTACACAGCGAGTTCGTCACCGGTGTCCTCTGCTTCGGGCTCAACGGCACATTGGTATGGGGGAGACACAACTACCCCGGCTCATGGAACGATGGTGAAATGAGCCGGAGGTTGCAAGAGGTGCTCGAAGACCCGGCGAAGACCGGTGTTGACATGAAGGTTGCGTCCGACTCTGCATTTCCGGTCAGTGGCAGGTGTGCTGGCCGCATTGTGACCCCGCTGAAGAAAGGGGACCTCGAACGGCATCCTCCAGCGTGCCGACTTGGCCTGAAAGTCATGAGTGACTGCATTACGTCGTTGCGCCAAGCTGCGGAATGAGGCATGGGTGCTGTCAGCAAAGTGTACCATCAACTGCTCCTGCCCCTGCTATATAATCCATCACTCCGTGCTATGCGACTTGAGAGTATATTAAAGTTGTATAACTTCCGTGTTTGCCGTACAGGGATAAGCCAGATAAAGAATGTCTTTGGATTGTAAAATAGTACTTGTAACTCCTCAAAAAGACACCTTCAAGGCAGTTTGTGTGGTTAGACGATACACATCAGAATTCTGTGCAGACCACAAAATCGTCTCCACAAAATGTGTCGCGTATTCTTATTTGAAAAACAGAGGTTTAGTGACATCGACTCAAATTCATTGTGTAAGTTTTGGGAGTCCCCCAATAACATATCTTCAGAGGTTTCCCATACATATATTTATTTTAACAGGTTTCTGGAATGGGATTGGGAATGGGACGTTTACGAAATCTCCCTATTGGCTTTTCGTTCGTCCTTATTAACTTACAGTTGAATATAAATTTGCTTTTCAAAAGTGATCGATGAGCAAAAGCTATATAATTGGGAGAATTATATTGTTAAATCGATTCGAAACTGTAGCCCCAGAAGAATCCAAGGTTAAGAGAATACTGATCTCCCCCCTTAAACGAAACGGGGTAAACTTGATAATTTTTGAAACTTTATATTATCCAACCATATCGGAAGGTGATGACTTTTTCAAAATTCGAACACTTGAATCGTTTGGCATTGAAATGGATGACATCATTTCCACTGTGAGAAACTGCTGGAGACGCACTGGCATACTCAGCTCTGACTTGGAGACGCCCAGCGCTTGAATGCATGTATAAATGGTTGGTTCAGACAGCCTGCAAATACCTGTAAGAGTTAATTTACTGTGTGAATTGCATAATTTGCTCCGTTTCGTTTAAGGGTGGAGATCAGTATATTAAAGAACCGCCTAAGCCAATCAAATCACATCCTGTCGAATTTCGGCCAATCCAACGTTTGGCCAGGCCCACTCCCTCGCCATTGGGCAAAATCTGATATATACTATTCTTTGTAAAACTTTGTAAAATATAGTTTGTAGAAGCTTAAAGTGAGATCAAATGGATTGAAATGCTATTTGGCGAAATGACTCACAAGTCCAAATTTGGGTGCAATGCATAATACTGGTAACATGTGACGCTTAAACTCCAAAACTGTATTTTTTCAGTCAGATTTTATTGTTTTAATTCTTCCAACGCGGAAACTCTAAACTCTATCGCTGACGCTATCCAGCGCGCTAAAGTCATATTATTCGTCAGATTTGACGGATTGGTCGAGTCTTGGCGAGCATACAAGCGGTAATATATTTTAATGTGCATAAAACTCCTAATACATTGAGGATTATCTAGTTGCAATGGCTTGACGCCATGTCCGCAAGTACAAGGTGTTTGCCCTCACGACCCTACATAGAGCAAACCGGCGCTCCTCGCTAAGATAGAGTGTGTCCATGAGAAGGCCATTGAAAATACTATTTTTTACCTACTCCTATACTCAGGGAGGCAAGATTATGTATTCGACGGCGCCTTGTGAGCAGAGTTATTTATTCGCGCGTCTTGTCTTGTTGAATAATTTATTCACACCGGCGTCCAGGTGAATGAGTTATTCGATTATTTCAAAACAACATCAAGCCAAACACAAAATGCAGTTATTACACCTCCTATTACTCGTTTCCTTGCATAATTTTCTGCACGTCATAGTCCAGGGCAACTTGGATCGCGAGAGTCACCGTCTCGCAACGACGATACTGCAACTCCTCACGGGTTCTGGTTCGCATACCGCGTTGGAACCAGGACACCTTGTTGCGCTCGGTCATGTCGCACACTTGCGTACAGATTCGTCGGAACTTGGCAACATACTCGGTCAAGCTCGCACACTTAGCTTGCATCAATTCCTATAGCTGATCACGTAGCCGATCTTGTAAATCGTCGCATCAATTCGTATAGCTGATCACGTAGCCGATCTTGTAAATCGTCGAGTTCAAACTCGACTCGCAGCTCTTCTTCTAGTTCAATCAGGGTGCTTGGAGACTCACCGCGCGAAAGCCGTTCTTGGTACCAGGCTGCGCCAAGGCCACGGAAATTTGCCACCATCATGGCAATGCATCGGTGTTGAGTCTTATCGTTTTCTTGGTAATCCACGTTATTTGTCTTAAAAAATGTCGTAACTTGGTGGATGTGTAGGCGAACACTATTTCGTCCATTCGTCCAGAATACTTGGGCATTTTTAATCCTTCAACTTTAAGCTCTGGTTGTCGTGTCTCTCGTTCCATGCTGTGTTGACTGGTCATACACTCGCTCGCTTCCACTTGAGCGGCTTGGGTGAGGCTAAGCATTTCCAACATCTGTTTATGTCGCTGAGAGGATTCTGCCATTATGCGCAAAACTTCACCCATCTTGTAATTCTCGTTCAATTGAATTACACTACTTCGAAGTTTGATCTCCTGTTGCTTCAGCTTTGATCTTGCGGGCCTTGTGGTACACTTGGATCTTCCGGTCAAGGACTCCTTCAATCAGTTCCTCGATTTGGTCGTTCCGGTGGATCAATAAATATATGATCTCTTGGATAGTGTTGCGCGTGTCGGAGTTCTTCGCTTCGGGGATCTGGGCACGCAACTTTGTTGATAACCACGCGTTGGTGACGGTTCAACACGCAGGGGTCTTCGCTTGCTTAAGCGGCAGATCCGCAGAGTCGAATAATTCGCCGATGTCTTTCGTGGCCGCGAGTCGGGGCTTGCGAGACTTGCTACGGAGCATACACTAGCAGATCACTCAGAACGTGTATGGATTTTGTTGCTGAGACTATCACCAGGTAACGGGTAGCAAAAACGACGTTTTCAAAACCTTTGGCGATGTGCTGTCTCTGTAAACGACCACACAGCCGTATAAGAAGACTGGCAGGAAGTGCTACCACTTGTAGCACTGCGGGGGGAAGCGTAGGTAGTTGAGGGCAAAATGCACAATGAATTAATTGAGGATCTACTAATATCTCCTTAGTCCTCATCCCTATGAATATTCTTCGTCTACTTCACTACTTCTACGCTAATATGCCCTATTGTATACAATGGATGCGGGTGCGGTTGAGACATTGGGGGACTTCACTAGACTAGCGATTCTAAGCCGTACATGCCCTTGAGACACATCCCCAGGCAAACATTAGCTAGGGTACATCATGAGCAAAGCATCTTGGAGCTAGGTGCGGGCAAGGTGGTGGCAAGGCGTTACCCCCAGCTGTCACATCGCTACATACAAAAACATTTGAGACTCTAAAGTTTTTCGGCAGCAAGCCACAACGGTGATACCGATGGCCTCTTTGTGGCAGAGAAGAATCTCTCACAAATGTTTGACGTTGGGATAATAAAGCGGCAATCCAGGAGCTTGTCTTCCGACGGCACGCGACGTTGCACGCTTCGCATATATCTGACGCATTTCGGCCACCGTGGTCTCCAACGGTGCAACACGCAAACCACCCACATTATCGGTTTCACCTAAACTCATCTGTCCGGATAACGGGTTCTGAATTTTGCACACCCCATTTTCAAAGTTGGGCTGCTGGATACTGGTGGCGGATGGAGACAGGTAATGCGCCGCTTGAGGGTAATCCTCCATCACCGTGTCGAACACGATGCGAAAATCAGACAAATGCATCTTATCGTAATGCCAATGTAACCGTTTAGAAGTTATCCAGTTGGGCAAGCAACAAGTCGACCTCACGGCCTCCTCGAGTGGACAGGCGTAGCTCATTAAGAGCCACATCATCGTCGACGAGGGCGATAAAGGGGTGGATGGCTGCATATAGGCACAGCTTGGTTATTTCCCCTGGGTCCAATAGTTCAGTAAGTTTCGCTTAACTCCGCACAGTCAGCACAGGGTTGGAATGACAAGTGCGGAGTAAGTGGAGTTACAATTTACAATAAAAATACAAAAAAAAAAATAACTTTACTGATAGCAATCAGGACGAAGTGGTGGTGTAGATACAACACTACTGTATCATCAACATGCATTAGTGGTCAGAGTTCATTTCGACGATGGTTCATGGGAGAGGCGAACGCCTTATCGAAGTCGAGCGTTTGTCCATAGTCGATGAACTTTCTGGTACGCGCATACGGTCAGTGCGATCCATACACTGTAGCCCGTTCATACACCGTCGACGAGTCTGCCATCCGTCAGCTCTGGAAGAAGCGAGCAACTGTGTTGCAACAAAATGAGTGTTTTACTGCAAACATCTTGGTCAATTGAGTTTTTTGGATCATCATTATTAAAACATCTTGGCAACACGGCGTCGTTTCAGGGAAGCGACCTACAAAGAGCTCGAAGATCTTCTGTAAAGTGGATAATACAAATGCGTCAACTAAAGATATTGGAGTCAACTTTTTGTCGAACATCGTAAGTAGTGATGACAACGTAGATGACGAAGGAGTCGAACTGGATGTGCTTGCGCAGAACCATGGACTCGAGACTAGTCATATGAATCGCTTTTTGCATTGTCATGATCAAAATTCCGATGTACCGCAGATACTAGTCAAATGAATCGCTTTTTGCATTGTCATGATCTAAATTCCGATGGGAGTTAGTGGCTGCGGAGTTAAGCGAGAGGTTACAAAACACCCATTTCCCCTCCTACTAGTATATACGAGTACCATAATGCCATATATTTGTCCTTTGAAGTAGGTCATGCCACCGGAGCCTTGAGGAAAGAACCAGCTTTACCACAAACATCGGTCCAAAACTCTAGACACTACGCCCCGCATTAATTTCACATGTCTCTTCAAGTGGACTTTCCATAGGCCTTCAAGGTGTTTAGTGTGGGCACCAGTGGTAGCGCCAACAAAGTTGTCGGTATGGTTCACCCACTGGTGTCCATATTGCATGTCTCGAAGGCTTGGGTTGTCGACAAGCGTATGCGCCACACGTACAGCCCGAACTTGTCAGACATGATAAGTGTTCCGGGCCGTACAGTAAGTGTTTCATGAAGAACCGCGTGAGGATGGGCTTCGTCCGG